CAAGCAATACGATTACGTAATCTTAGAAACAGATTTGTCACTGCAACCTCCACAAGTAGAGAGATGTTTGGTGGAAGGGTAACTGCACAAACTGTTCGAAATCGCTTGCAGGCTGCTGGTCTTCGAGCTCGGAGGCCAAATAATGGACCAATATTGACACCTCTTCATCGCCGTAACCGACTTGTGTGGGCCACAAGACACATAAGATTTACTCTAAGACAGTGGAATTCGGTTGTCTTTAGTGACGAATCTCGATTCACATTGAGATTTGCCGATGGCAGGGTCCGAGTGTACCGCAAACGAGGTGAGCGTTACGCTCAAGTTTGCGTCAGAGAAGTTGACCGATTTGGTGGCGGCAGCGTCATGGTTTGGGGTTCTTTTTGTGCACATGGACGTTCTCCTCTTGTTGTTGTCCAAGAGAACTTAAATGCTGTCCAGTACAGGGATCAGATTTTGCAACCTGTTCTTCTTCCGTTTATGCAGAGACATGGGCCTGGACTAACGTTTCAACAAGACAATGCTCGACCCCATACAGCAATTGCTACCCAGAATTTTTTAAGAAACGCCGGTGTCCAAGTCCTGGATTGGCTGTCGCTTAGCCCCGACCATAATCCTATTGAACACATCTGGGACGAACTGGGTCGACGTGTTCGTCAGAAAGTGAATCCACCACTGACGTTGCAGGACCTTCAACATGCCCTTGCTGAGCAGTGGCGACGTCTTCCTCGGGTAGTGTTTACTAATGTTCTGAGATCCACGAGAAGACGTTGTGTGGCAGTACGAGACGCTAGAGGAGGCCACAACCGTTACTAAACACTTTATTCCGATTGTTCTCCAAGTCTGTGAATTTCATTTTGGGGGGGGTACTGTGACATCACGAACGTTATCAATGTCAAGGACTTTCGGCGAGACGTATTCTGGCTTCTGTTGATGTCAAGGTCGTCTGTGCACAACATAAAACTAAAATAGTTGCCTTAAACCAAATATTAAAAATCTAGTCCCAAAAATCCCGAGTGTCAAGTTTTTAATTTGGCTGAGTATATGTATAATATATTTCCATCTTAAATCTGTATAATGTATTACATGTTATCGTCCATATTAAATATTGTATATGATATATCACATGTTATCCTCTTTGTTAAGTGTGTACAAGAGTTGATTGATAAGTAGTGAGTCTAACACAGAAAGAAAAAAGAAATTCAAATCAAATGCATTTATTTTTCAACATAGTTCCCCTTCAATGTAATACACTTCTGTCATCGGTGTTGGAGAGCCTTTATTCCAGTTCTGTAGAAGTCTTTGTCTTTGGGTGTGTAGAAAATCATCCACAGCGGCAATGTCGTCATAGTCAGACGGGAAATGCCTACCGGAAAGACATTTCTTCAGAGCAGGAAACAGATCGAAGTCTGAGGGAGCTAAATCAGGTGAGTACGGTGGATGCTGAAGAAGTTGAAAACCAGTCATGGATTGCTGACATGGCAACAACTGATTCGTGCACTGGCGCATTGTCCGGGTGGAAAATCACACCTTTGGTCAGCTTTCCTCGTCTTTTGGTCTTAATTTCTTGCCTCAGCTGCCTTATAAGTGCTGCATAGTATCTACCGTTAATTGTTTGACCCTTTTGGAGGTAATCCACCATGAGAACACCCTCAGAATCCCAGAATACTGAGGCCATCGCCTTTCCTGCCGATGAAACAGCCTTTCGTTTTTTGGGGTCGGCGACGTCACATGTTTCGACTGTTTTGACTGCTCTTTTGTTTCTGGGTGAAAGCGGTGAACCCAAGTTTCATCCATAATAACAATTTGTTTTAGGAAGCGGTCAGGATCGTTTTCAAATGAGGCTAGATTCTCTTCTGACATGATGTGTCTTGAACGCTTTTGATCAGGCGTCAAAAGCTTTGGTACCTATCGCGCTGAAACCTTTGTCATTTCCAAAGTTTCAGTGATAATAGAATGAACCCTCCCCTTGCTAATACCAACTACCCCAGCTATGAATCGTTCAATAACTCGCCGGTCATTCATTATCAGAGCATGGATTTTTTGTACAATTTCAGGTGTTGACACAGTTTTTGGTCGACCAGGGCGTGGTTCGTCTTCAACGCTGTCTAGGCCACGCTTGAATTCAGTTGACCACCTTTTAGTTGTGGCATATGAAGGAGCATCATCTCCTAATGTCTCAATCATATCACATGTATGGCTTTCGGTGTTAGACCCTTTTTATGCAGATACTTAATCACAGCTCTCGCCTCGATATGGTCCATTTTCTGATAACAACAGACCCTACTTGATTGTTATGACCCGTCACAACCAAACAGTTTAACCGAATGTGATGAAAGTTTGTGACAGAGCCCGAGGAACATAATAGTGCAAGTGCAAAACGTGGTATCATTGTTTTGCACGGTTTTCCAATCGAGGTTCACTACTTATCAATCACCCCTCGTATACATCGTCCATGTAAAATATGTATGATATATTACATGTTATCTCCCCATGTTAAATATGTATGATATATTACACGTGATCGCCCATTCTAAATATGTATCATTACACACCTTGGGATGTTATTTCCTTTGATCTCCCATGCATGTTATGAAACGTATCAACCTGTTGTGACGTCATAAGAGGGTGATATCTGATATCGACTACAAATTGTTGTTTACTCAGCAGATTGGAGAGGTGTCAATAACCTGAATATAGCCAGTGTATAACTGTTTATTTACGATTCATACAAATCAGATCATTTCAATGTCAGGTTTTTGAAATACAATTTTAAGAAATTTGGATTGGTATACCGATAAATGTATTTTATGCCTATTTGCTGATTTCAGGTTTTCAACACTTTTTTATACGCCCACATGTCATATATTGTCGTGACCCTCGTCCGCCAGTCCACGATCTGGAGGCTAAACGATTAAGGTCGTGGGAAGAAGAATCCTATTGATTTTAAATTATTTCCGATAATTACTTCCAGATTTATGGTCCCTGATATTTAATATTTTGTGTACTAAATGCTAGTATAAGGCAGAACTAGAAGGCAAACAAATCTGACTGCCCGGACGACTTAGCTACTTTGGGCGTATGTGGGGAAGATTGGGTGGCCGAATGGTTAGCGCATGCGCGTTGTATCATAAGGTCTGTCGTTGAGTCAACTGGCTTGGTTTCGATTCCCCGGTTGTACGTGCCAAGGAGTAGGTTCGCCAGTCCAACCTCGTGGGTTTTCTCCGGGTCCTCCGGTTTCCTCCCACTGCTAAAGACCCATACGAGCAAGCGAATTATTGAAATAAAATTGAACCATGTTAGTCCCGAAATGACCCAGTTTGAGCCAAGTGGACGTTAAACCCCATTTCTACCTCTCTCTGTGGGCGTATGTTTCGTTGACTGGCAATCTATTTTTAAAATCCACGACAGGCCAATGGATAACGTAATATTTATTTTAGTTAGAATAAACATCAAAAAGGAACGATTAAAACTATCTAAAAGATGGTCAAACAGAATTTTACCCCAGTTCGCTATGTTTCGTGTATTTGTTCCATATACTATTGGACGAGTTTTCTAGCTAATGTTACTATTTCTCAAACTATAAATCATTGAAACAACATTTATTTATTGTTTTAACTATATGTATTTATCTTTTTTAATTAACACGACGTTTCTTGCTATCTATTGTATATATATATATATATATATATATATATATATATATATATATATATATATTTGTGACTGTCGTTTGTCTGTCTGTCTGTCTGTCTGTTCAGGGTTGGCGGCTACACTAGGTCTGCCCCGAGTCTGAAATTTGGGGTATAGGGGTAGCTCGGACCGGGGAGTAACATAGGCCAGGTGGCGTTAGTCTACCATTTCCGGTTTCGGAGTTATGACCCCCGAGCGAAGCCGGGTATCCTGCTAGTTTCTAATACAGTTCACACCTTAAAATGCATGGTCTGTTTTTCCACAATCACCGGGTCAGTATGTTCGGGTGTTCATCAATATGAACACCTACTTGTCCTCAAATGATCACCTGTACACGTGCCAAATCAACATATTACAGGTTGATCAGTAACTTGAACACCTGAGTCAAAACAAAGGGTCTAGTGTGTAATTATCTCATAAAATAGTACATGTTATCCTTCATGTTAAATATGTTTAATATTTTAAAAATTCAACCGCTAAAATCTCGGTTCATAGTGGATCAATTCGACTGAAATTTTCAGCAAATTCCCTAAACAGTATCTAGTTTTTAACTATTATAGTGAGAACTGCCAGCTATTTATCTAGTCTCTCAAAATGTATCTTAAGTATGCACCGTGTGTAAATAAAACTTTCCTTAACACGATTGAATAAAATATAATCTATCAGCCAGTCCTACAATAGAGGTGGGTGGGTGGGTGACCGAAGATCAAAAGGTCTGTCATTGGGTCAAGTGGTGTGGTTTGATTTCCAGCTTGCACGTGACAACGCGTTTTTCTTTGGTCCTCCAGTTTCCTTCAACTGCTGAAGACCCCTACTCCCAAGCGAATAATTGAAATAAAATTGAACCGTATGTAATGCAAGCCATTACAAGAAATATATTTGGCCTCGTCTCAGCTCGACTTGGTCAATTTTTGGTGAACCCTTTTTGTCGAATGCAACTTCATGCGCTGTTTAAGCAACGCATCCGGGATCCTTTTTACACGTAAGATCAGTGTTTGTACCAAATTACCGACTAGACAAAGGTTCATTGTCGGCTATTAAGCTCTTATTCTTTATCATTTATTGGAAGATTTCAGCTACTTAATGTACAGACGGAACTTTTTATAGTGTATCATTAGTATCATTAGCTTATATGATGGCGGCTTTATCCCGAATTCCATTTCTATCTTATTTAATTTGATTGGTCGTAAAATAGAAACTTGTATATAGTGTGACATACAGACAACAGTTCGTTCTTGAAACACCAGAATCCTAAGCCGACAAGACTATTAGCTCTGCTATATAGCTTCGATCGAATATGGTGAGTTATTGTTTGGTTGTAGCGGATGTACCGTTTGAACGTGTGGAACAATACTCCGGCTTCGTTAATATTCTCAAACGATCAGTCTAACAGACGTTGTGACAGAAAGACCGCCAATAAGAGTAGTCAAACGGCACTGTCGTCTGCTAGTGTTCGTGTTAACTGAGGTATAGTTGGATCGTCAGAGTTGTTGTTCAGTCATCTATTAATCAGTGTTATGAAATACTTCTGTTTACTGGCGATCGATCATGCAGTATGAACAAGTTATTAAACTTCCTATCCGTCGCTGAAATTTCAATCTTCGGATTTCTCCTGGTTTTAGTACTTCAAGGTAAGCCTTGTTTTCAATGTAATTAATGTTCTAACGGGTGATTTTGTCAATACGGTTGTTTTCCATACTTGATCGAAATAAATCGAATTACATTTGAACGTTCCGTTGACAGTTTCCTTAGGCCATTTTTAGACCAGTATGCGGTTTTATGAATTCTGCCCCGATAGCGGCATTTCCGCCTATAGTCTTCTTTAAATTTGTACACGGGATCTCATCCAAACGATTAAACACACTTCCCTTGACAGCCACCGTAGATGAACACTGATCAGTAAGAACCGGGCTGACATTGTCTTAAATTTCTCAAACAAAAGAGTAAGCATGGCTGCCTCGTAGGCCATACAAATGAAATGAAACGGGGTTTAACGTCCAGCATTTTTTTTTTGATAATGAAAGATGGACAATCAACATTCAATGTGTCCGTTCAACGACGTTTCCGCCTACTCTTCATCGCATTCAAACTGTTGTTATTTTTATATGGACGCCAACGTGTGTATTTGGGCCTCAGTTTTCGTATCATTCGAAGGAATAGACGCTGTTTATTGCCAGTCTTCTCATCTTGCATCACTGGCAAAGAGGGGAATCCCAAGGAGGTTTCTCAACCAACACTGGAATCTAACCCCGGACAGCTGAACCACAATACGAACATTGCTTTATCAACAAGTTGTTATGGAAGCATTTATCATTAGAAAATGAGCCCCTAGGATACCTGTCTGCTACGTTAACTACAATTTCAAAATTTAAGAGCTCTAGAAATTCACCTCCTGATATGGACCAGCCTCCCTACCAACGTTACATTTCTTCTGTCTCTCCAGTGTCACCATTACCTCTAAATATACAGTCCAAATATAATTTAATTTGAAATAACTGGGATCTTTGCCACGATTGATCTGTAACAATCATTTGACGTTACCGAAAATTACAGAAAAAAAGAAATCAGTTCACTTTAGATCATAAGGTCTGTCATTGAGTCTCGTAGTGTGGTTCCGATTCCCAACTTGTATGTGACAAAGAGTAGGGTTGCCTGTCGAACCTCGTGGGTTTTCTCCGTATCCTCTGCTAAAGACCCCTATAGTTGCACCATGTGTTAGTCCCGAAATGACCTAGTTTGTGACGAGTGGACATTAAACCCTATTTCTCTTTTTCTATATAAATTAAAGCATACTATTATTTTTGGACGATATCTATGTTATTACTGTCTCCGCCGTGTGGATTATAAATCGCAATTCGCTCTTAAACGACAATTATTCTGTCTGCATTTTAAACGATAGTTATAGTGTTTTTCCGAGATAAATAAACTAAAGTCACACTATTGGAGTTTAGAAGTAAATATACTATTACTATCACAATTCGCTATATAGCTGTGCAATCGTAATTTCTCACTAAATACTGTATTTATATTCATCCGACATATTTCTTGTAAATCGGAATGTCCCTCCTTTTATAAACTGTTTAATATACACGCGTACAGCAAAACTATGTTAGGTAAGGAAAGTGGCATGAGGTGCATGCCCTATCCCAGACGTTTAATTCAGAGGTCGGAGCTCACACTCATCGGGCGTAGCCGGACCCACTGAAAAATGAGCTGAAAAAAATATCGCCTGAACTACACAGAAAACGAAAATATTAACGGATAGGCTACACGATTTTTATTTACCTTTTTTTAATAGACTGGAAAAAATATAAATTCAAGATTTTATTAATATATTATTGAGGGTAAGGCTAAATAGTTTTTTTTTTATCTATGTGGTGTGGATTTTAGAGCCTATTGTACTTTACATGGCTTTATAGTTATATAACTTTACCAATATCCTTTTTAATAAGTCAACTACTTATTGCCACGTATTGTTTTCGTAAGTGTTTTTATTATTTTTTTGTGGAATTTACATTCTGCCAACGTAGATGTGGTTGGCCCCCGTGCGTCTATTTATTAAATATGAATTGGGTCATTTTTGACGAACAGAAAGTGTTTACGGATGTGACAAAAAATAATCGCAGATTGTGCATATCGCGGTTATTTCTCAACGGATCATCTTCGGATTTTCATTTTTTGATTCTTTGGACGAATTCCATATATGCTCTGGCTGACGGCTTTTAGAAATTCGGAAGTTCGCTCTATTAATAGTAGCATCAAAGATTTGCGAAAGTTTTCTTCATTTTTTTGACATTAAAGATGGCATATCTTGAGGTATCAAGTTGAAACTCGGTAGGAATAAGGAACACACCGATGCCTTCAAAATGGCATATTAAATTATTTTGTGACGGCTTCCGGAAGCCTTCCGATTTTTCCCGAACATGAATAGTTCTCTCCATTTTGAAAATAGACAATGGTGGTGACATATGGTGGTGTTAGCCCCAGATATTATATTTCATTTTCAAAGACCTTGTTCCATAACATTTTCAACCGCTTGGCCGCCATATTGGATTTTGCAAAAAACATTCAAATCGATATTCACCCGCATTTTAATTCCGATTTTCGAAAACTATTTTTTATTGAACCTACTTCCAAATGGCAACAACTCTTAGGGAGCCGAGTTTTGAATTTCGATTTTGTTTACTTCCGGTTTCACTTTGAATTTTGTTCGACTTTACACTTTCTAGATGGTTACCTAACCTTTTAATGACCCTTGACCTTTGTATACATGGTGACCCTCATGTCTACTAACAACTAATATAAAAAAGTTCGGTCTTGAAGTATAACTTCCACTTTAATAGGTATTGGATGTTACTATACTCAATAATTTATGGTCTAACTTGATTGTTGACGTGGACGTGACAAGGCGTGACCTGACGTGACGTACCGAAACACGTCAGTACTCTTTGGAGGTATATAATTGTAGTTATGGCAGCATACAATTCATCAAATAGTAAGCCCTAAGCTTTATGGAACCAACATTAGGACCAAACCAATTTAATATTTGGTTCTTCCGGATCTTATTCATTAAATAACCCACTTAAATCTTGTGTACGACATTTTATTAAAATTTCAAAACTTCAAAATATAATTATGGAACTAAAAGTTTTTGAAAAGTTCAACCAAGTTTAAGCTAGTCCTTTTCCCGAAGAAATCAGGCGCGTGTCCATAAAAAAGAGGGTCCGGACCTCTGCTCGTGCAGAGCATTTTGCATTTCCCCTACATTCATAGTATTAACGTCGGACAAACAAATAACATGCGAATCATTTCCGCCGTTTTAATCTCACTCCACTCTAATCCCTATACATGTAAGCTCCTAAATGAGCAGATATATTGTCTGGAGCCTTCTAATTATATAAAAGTCCCGAGTAATCCCCGAGACCCGACGGAAAATTTGATGTTGTCCTGGATCCTCCTCTACTTAAAGTTCTAAACACGTCCTGTATCGGTATCATCTCCACATTAGCAAGCATTTGTAAAACCTATAAAAAAATAAGTCGGCATTAACAAAAAGTTTCTGCCAGGCGATTCTAGAAGATTAAAATGAAATATGCTGTAGGCTATTAGATGACCTATGATTGTAGATTTTTAAAAAATATGCTCCCTGTTGTATGAAATCCTTCCCGCAGTGTGTAATGTATTTACGATATTGTGGTCATAACAATATTGACTTGAATCTCAGCAAGGACAATTATCCATAGCTGGAAAGTCCTCCTAATTTGATAACACATTAGCTGGTAGTAAAACTGACAAATCAGACCATATATTATTTGCGAACGCCATTCGTGTGGGTTGTTATTTCAGACAATTGCCAAACATTTGTCAAAAATGAAATGAAATGAAATGGGATTAAAAGTCCTACTTTTTAGCACCGAAAAAGCAATTGAAGACGGGCATACGCCATACAGTGTTCTTTGAGGTAAATTTCGTGTAGACACCTGCGCTACGGCCTATTCTTAAGGTTTCTATTGCGTGCACCCCAATATGTACAAGAAAACAACTTCAAGCCGTCCGTCCGTCCTGCACTTCTGACAAAGGGAACCGCGCTGGAAAAATCACGAGGAACTTTTTGAGCCAACACTGGGAGCGAACCCGAGACCTCATGGTTAGCGAGCCATCGGCTTACCCACTGAGCCACCGCCCCACGCATTAGTCAAAAAGGCGGCACAATGTTGTAAAATACCAAATATTGAAGCACTTGAACCTAAATGAGCAGTGGAATCGACAGGTACTCAAGAAGTCAAATTTATACACATAACCTACCTACCTATCTCTTGTAAATTTAAACACATAACCTACCTACCTATCTCTTGTAAATTTAAACACATAACCTACCTATCACTTGTGAATTTATACACATAACCTACCTATCTCTTGTGAATTTATACACATAACCTACCTATCTCTTGTGAATTTATACACATAACCTACCTATCTCTTGTGAATTTATACACATAACCTACCTATCTCTTGTGAATTTATACACAAACCTACCTATCTCTTGTAAATTTATACACATAACCTACCTATCTCTACCTATCTCTTGTAAATTTATACACAAACCTACCTATCTCTTGCAAATTTTTGCTTCCGATTGTTTAGCGTATGCTACAATGGACAGCATTTAAATTTAAAAGTTAGTTATTGTTTTAATCACACAGTTCATTTAATGTTTCTAACACGCAAAAACCAAAACTAATCAAGAATCGTAGGAGCAGAATAGTGGCTCAGTATTTTAAAAATTCGGTTAATATTAAGTGCGCTGAAAAGAACAGAACCATTCAAGAACACAATGTCATGCATTACTAAACCAAGAGCTTAATCCAAAATGTTTCCTATATCGACCAACATGTAATATTATAATTATTCTGATTCGAAAAGCTCAACGTTGAGAATTTCCTTAAAGTTACAATTTCATATCTTTAAGTTATATTTTTAAAATGTATTAAAATAAAGCCCTAAAATAGATGGTATCTATAAACAGTCATACTTTGTTAAAGAATAGTCCTATTAATCCTATAATTCATTATTATTCTATGCAATAATTCAGTATCCTGTTTAAAATTATTATGTTTATAACAATATGTAT